TGCCACATGGCTAAACTTCGGCTCCACCACGTGGGCCATGGATATGATCCTGGCCTTCGCGTGCGGACTGGGGATCTTCCTCCTGTTACTGCCCTTCCTCCCGGGTAATCCACCAGTACCACCACCACCACCTCTGCGAAAGAAGAAAGGCTGCAGAAAGGTGAGAGATCCTCAGGCCAGGCCCGACAATAAATATTCTCTCTCTCTTTTCCTCTATTTTTTTTTTTTTATCGGTACTGAGGACCGAACTCATGACCTTGCACTTGCAAGTCAGGCTCTGTGCAGCTGAACTAAATCCCCAGTCCCTTCTTTGCCTCTTCTTGCTCCTGTTTTTCCAATGGGAGAGAGAGAAACATGAGAGGGGAAGTCTCAGGCAACATTACAACACTATTCTTTTTTTTGGTTTCTTTTTACTTTCTTGAAGCACAGATTTTGTTTTTCTTTTTTCTTTTCTTTTTTTTTTTTGAGAAATCAGACACTGTGACATCTGAGAGTGTATTTCACAGGTCCAGGACAGGATTCCCAAGGGAGCTGGGAACCTCTATAGTAAGACAGGTCCAGGACACTGGTTCTTAGGATTCCTACTTGCTGCAAGTTCCTGTGGCCACACCTGTCCTGTGCATGAGACTGATCCATGGGCAGTGCTGAGCCCTGGAGTGTCTCCCCCAGACCCTAGGATCACCTGTGACCTCAGGAAGCAGAATGCACTGTGCAGGTGAAGGAGCCTGTGGACGCCTCTGCCTGCTGAGACTTTGTGCTGTGGAGAGCCGAGCACGGTAGAGCTTGTTCAGAAAATCTGCATTTTCCAAAGAGCAAAATCAGCAGCCACTTGAAAAATGAACTTCACTGGCTTCATTAGAAAGTTCTACTCTCCAAGGACACCAGTAGTGCTGTCTAGGGAGAAGAGAGAGAGAACTGGATCCCAGCCTGTGTTTCTTTCCTGCCCCTCAGTACCACATGGTGAGGAAGGACTGGAGCAAGATCAGAAAGAGGAGCTGCACTCTGAGAGGTGAGGCTTGGTTCTCCCGCCCTAGAGGTGACTTCACCTTGATGGTCCTT